GAACGTCGCCCGTCGCTTTCAAGCGCGAAGCTGCGCAATTTGCGTGTAAATATTTCTGTCGGTTTTTACACCGGGGCCGCGTATACACTTTACACTACGCCCGTATAACTCCATAAAACGCGGGAGAACAAGCGGGCACTGACATATTCGCCGCCCATTCCGCAAACGCGCGCGCACGCACGAGACGGAATGCATAATTTATCGAATACGTAGCGATGTTTTACGGCTCGGTCGATAGTCGCGCTCGATTAGTCGCGGCTTAGGTCACGGAAAAGTTGGTATAATCGCGGAGATAAGCGCCGTCGAAACACGGACGCGTGGAATCCGCTTACGCCGATAACGCGCGTTTATCATTGTCATACCGTTTCTTCGCCTATATAATCATCGATTATTATTAATACATTTATTAGCACATCCGTTCACTTTAAACAATATGTATGTGGATTTAATACCATGTATAATTCTTATCACTTTCATGTTAATATCAACATGATGTTGATCAAAATCCATGTTTACATCAATACTAACACTATGAGAATTATATAAATACATGATGCTAGATTCACACTTACATATATTTCTTTAGAATCTTTATATTTATATCAAAGTCTCATTTTTGAAGTCGAAATTTTAGCACACCTTGTAACTTTTGCGAAATTTTAAATTTTTGTACCATAACGAAAATTTTCGAGTAATAAAATATCCGCAAAAAAATATGTATATATAATCAGTATCGTAAAAATATAGTGAGTATATTCAGACAGTCTCCTCAAATGTGAATTTCCGACACCGGATATTCGTTCGCGGAACGATTCGCGTGTCGGTGCAGAAAGCGTGCTGGGCATTAGCCGCCCTGTAATCGTAGTAAAGCGATATTTAAGGGTTCGCGTTTGATGTTATTTTTTACGTTTATTGCATCATAACGCCCCAACGGAGGAGGGGAGGCGAATTGCCGAGCCGCCATCGAGCCACCGATAAGGTCGAGAAGGCATATCAACGGCGTCCCGTCGTTCTGTCGACGCTTTATTTGTTTGGTCTAGGTCACGTTCTCTTCGCCCACCAGACGCAAGCAAATGTTTACGCGCACTTCGGGGGTGGGATACGTAATGCGGATACGCGTTAAACTGATACGCGACGGCGGCGTACGAAACGATACGACGACGGCGGTGGTGTACCAACTATACGACGTCGTAAACGAATCCCGGCGGTGCAGAGTGGTGAACGGCGTCTGTGCCAACGTGTGCACGTGCGCCAGACGCACGTGCGTGTCCTACGCGGATATGGAGAAGCGGAACGAAAAAGAACGAGGGGGGTGTCCGACGAAATTCGCGACGCGGCTGCATTTTATTACAACGTTTAATCGTTAACTCGAACGCATGGAACTTATTATTCGACCTTTATAACGCGCAGTGAGAATTTTAATTATCTTTAAATCAGGAAATTAAATGTTTTAAACGCGTTCTTATAATCAATTTGATTATCCCTGATATTTAAAAAAAAAAAAGAAATAATTTTAATTAATTAATAAATCTAATAGATATTTTTTGATTTTTTCTTTAACGCTTTTTAATCGATTATTGATTCTTTTTTTCAACATTGTTTGATAGTGTACTGGCTTCGCGAGTCACAAAGTCGCTAGCAATTACCAGGGACTAAAGCGAAAAGTCGCACAGACATTTACACGAAAATAGATTATTGGAAAACCGTTCAAGAGCGCTTAAGAATTTCGGCGGCGCCGCATGGTGCACGATGAATAAAACGAAGATGGCGAGGTGGCACGATAACGGCTGTGAGAAAATTCCACAACCTTAGTGTGTACTAATAGTTCAGGCGAAGGATAACGTGAAGATGCTTTAAGATCAACCATGTCTTAAGATTCGAGAATAACTTGTGTGAAATAAAACTAAAATTGCATAGCTATTGCCTATATAAAGTATTTTTCTCTAAGATAAAAAGCAAGAGTGCACATTTATATTCATATACATAGGATACGTAGATATGCTCCTAAAAAAGATGATTTTCTTAAGAAATATTTAGATAGAAAAGAACAAGTATAAATATGGAAGTGTATATTTAATCCTCGACTATAATAGGTTCTAAAACGTTCTGTTTTAAGTACAGAATGTAAGTGAACCTTTTTTACAGGTTGAAAGAGAAAGGTTCAATTAAAGGTTTTTACCTGCAATTTAGGATCTTATACAATCGTTGAAAAAATTTCGCTCCCGATCTAAATTACTTGTTATTGTAG